TTATGTTTCTAGAGACTAATTCTAACATAGAAATGAGGACTTAACTGTGTGCCAGATATATTTTCCCATAACATTTTTTTCTCTTTTTTAAAAATGCCCTTGATGGCTGATTCTATCCCATAACATTTTATAACTACTTGTGAAAGACTTTGCAGGGAAATATTCAAAGTGTTTGTCAACCCAAAAAGCCAATTATATGGTGACAATCTTTGTTGCTTAGCATAAGCAAAGGCTTTTTTTCTCAGATGATGTGAATAGGTTCATTTATTTCAACAGTTCCACAATGTTCCTTTGCATTCTAGCACGACTAAGCCACCCACCCCCTATGTAGTGAGCAGACTGCTGTGTCATGTGTCCAATTCATCACACAGCACATCCAATACTCTGTACCTGAAGCCCCACAAAGAGGTCCAGCTCATAGCAGTGAGCATTGTGTCCGGGATGTCTTTAATTTTTAACTTTTAGCAGAAAGCAATATCTGCTATATAATACAAAGTAAATGTAAACCTTGTATCTTTATATAACTGGCCACATGGAGCTTAAATTTTATTGCAATCCAATATTAACACCATTCATCTCAAGAACATCTTCCTACAGGCGCAAACTTCTACTACTAAGTGTTTGAAAGTTTCTTCTATTCACAAAAATTAATTTCTTAATCACTTCCTGGTGTCATGTTTGTCATGGGTACACTGTTCAAAATATGTTTCAATCATATAAAAATTCTCAACCCCACGGTGATTAATAGAGCTAATTATCACATCTAAGAATTATTAAATGTGTATCTTCAGCCATTGCAATAACAAATGTCACAATCTTACAACATTTTCAGGGAATTTTTCTTTTAATTTCTCAGTCAGATTTCTACTGCATTGAGCAAGAGAGTATTTCTGGTTCCATTTACATTCTCACATGCTTATTTCTTTTCAGAACACACAAGTTCCGCTACATTCAGTACATTCTTTTTTACAGCTTGCTATCTGTGAAGAATTTGATGTCCCAGGCAGATTTTTCATTTAAATACATGACTGCTTATTTTATAAACAGCCAAGCTAAACCTTGTTGATATTTCGACTCTCTTTTCAGTTCGTTAGGTTTTGATCATACATCTCGTCCATGACACTGATCTTTGTTCTTACAGTGGTTTTATTACATGATGGCACCTAGGTAGTTTTCTTTAATCATATCATTTGCCAAATAAGCACATGATCACACCACATATCTTCAACTTATAAAAGTAAAACATATGACCCTTTCAGTCTATCTTCCTGTTCCCATTTTTTAAAGAGATATGAGTTCAAAGTATGTTGTTCTTCTAACACTATTTGGTGGATGTGTGACACAAGCCAAAAACTCGATTCTGCAAAATATTATAATTATTTTCCATAATTCAACCTCTGGAGTTGGTCTCCTTCCACCTGATGAAGGACGTGTCCTCTTAGTCTTCTTCAGGAATTCAATCAGTCACTTCCACAAGTGCCATTTTACCTGTTGCCCCAGAATTAACCCTACAGCTCACACTATAGCCGTGAGGGTAAGTCCCCACAAAGGACAGTGGTTCTCAACCTCAACCATTTCCTCCTCCATATAAGCATCACAATTGGGGAGCTTTGAAAACACCAATGCTCAGCTTTCCCCAGAACAATTATCCAAATGCTTTGAGAGTATACATGAGTACAGATGCTTTTAAAAACCCTTCAGGTCATTCAGGTGATTCTAGTTTGTGAATAGGGTTGAGAAGAACAGATAAACAGAAAGCAGCCAATAATTGAGGCCAGACACCTATCTGCAAAGTTTAGTAAGAGGCAGCAGTATCAGCTTTTCTGCAGACACCAGGACCCCAGCAGCAACCCTCCACCTAAGTTTGCATATAAAAAAAGATTAGGGCATGAAGAGAAGGGGTTGGGGTGGGTTACTGGACTTGTAAGCAGCAGAGCCCATAGTCCTCACAATACAGTCAACATATAAACACCTGGCACTTGGAAGGTATGGAAGGCCAGATGGTGTTGGCCAGGGGAGCAGCAGTAATCACAAGCAAGTACATTTACAACAGCAGCCAGGGAGATGAAGAGACTCTGGGAGTCTATTCTCTCCCACACTAGCCAGGGCTTGAAGAGAGAGAAACAGGAGTCTCAGGGCTTGTCCTGTTCTCTCCCAATCCTACAAGATGAGATCTCAGTTCAAACTGTGCTCAGGGAAAGAGAGAAAACGAGATTTAAACTAAGTAGGAAACTAAACTGGACTGAGTATTAATAAATTTTAAAAAGACTAGAAAATGTAAAACTTGCTCAAGATATAACTATGAGAGGGGGAAGGGAGATTCGACAGCACAGAGCTGGGCACTATGATTGAAGAAAAAAAATATTGCGTTTATTCCCCTCACTGAGTGACACTGTTCCACAGACTAATTATACTGTAGTATTTTCTCAGTCATACCAGGCTTAAACACTGTTGTTATTGGATTTTCTCAGGATTTATTCTTCTTGTCCTTCTTGAGGCAACATCCATGCTTTGGGGGATCATGAAAACACTTGGCATGAGGATGGGGTATAGAGTCTATCCCAGAGTCTTTCTCTCTTTTTACATTGACTTCAATTTATGTGTCCACACTTTATCTGAACTCAAGCTTGCAAAGTCTCCTTGGCAACTACTAATTCCCTTAGCAGATTTCCAAACTCTTTTGTGGACACAAGAAAGGTTTAGCAGCTCTCCCAAGGATGTGTGGGCTGTGGGGAATTCAAGGAGCTCTCTTACAACCTTGTCTGTCCTTGACACCCCCATGCAGTCAGGAGTAGTGGGCCAAGACATGCAACCTCTTTCACAGAGATCCTCACCTTCCCTAGCTCTTCCTTGCCTCCTCCTCTCTCGTCTCTCTCCACCTGAAAAAGCACTTTCTAATCTACATGGTGGTGGCTGAGAGAGAAATGAAGGAAAAATGTTTCCCCTGATCACTTATTCTTCTAAATCTGCTGCATCTTACTCCTTTACCAAAGCATTTGAATTTAATAGCCAAGAATTTGAAACTTTCATTCTTCAGGGACCTCCATGAGAGCATCCCTAAAGTAAAGATGATGCCTCCATTCTAGCTCTCCAAATGAGAAAATATCACAGAATAAAAAATGAATTGGCCCCACATAGTTCAGGGTTCTGTGAACAGCTCAGAGTTGACTGCCTAGACTGCCAGCCTTCACAGAGCCTCAGCACCTGGCCCACTCCCCACTGGTGGCTCCCTTTCTTACCCTTCTCTCCATGCCTCTGAAGCTTCAGGCAGACCCTGCCTACCATCCCCTTTGGCTCTCGCCTCTTAAAATTAGAGAAAAACATGAATGAAAACCAATAGAAAATGGTAAGAGAACAATGGAAATCAACAATTATGTGCAAGAAATTTGGGGAGATATTATTTATTACAAACTTGCATAAGTTGGGACAAAATAAAAACCAAGAGATGAGTTTGTTACTTTGGAATATGTGAAAGTTGCTGACCTATACTACTCTCAATAGGAGAAATAGCAGAAGTTAATGAATCTCTTACAGAAGATACAGAATTTGTCAATGAATCCTGCTGTTTCCAGTTTCTGGCTATTATGAATAAAACTGCTGTGAGCATTTGTATACAAGTCTCTGTGTTGACATTAAAGTTTTAATTTCTCTAAACAATGCTTTCTTAATTTTGCAAAGAAATTATGTTATTTCTTTGAAAATATGATGCAGTGACATAAGACTTTTTTATTTTAGATTTGGGGGTACACATGCATGTTCATTACATAGACATATTGTATAGTGGTGGGGACTGGGTCTCAGGTGGCCCATTCCTCAGATAGTGAACATTGTACCCCATAGGTAATTTCTGGACCCTAACTCCCTTCCGTGGGGTCACCATGCAGACCCAATATTGCCAAATCTTCTAATTTTTCAAGCAAAAACAGATGTTTTTATACATGTAATCTCCTAAATTTAAATGTTAGCCAACAAAACAAAAAAAGCAAAAGTTAAGTGCTGGTAGATCAATGCTGTTCAACATTAGACAATGCAAAATAGAACACAACTGCAGGTCAAATTTGACCTCAGGATCACTTGTTTCTAACTAAGACTTTGGTTCTCAATCTTGGCTATGAGCAGTATGACATCTTAGCTTTTTTAAAATATAGCATACCTGAGCCCTATCTTAGATTCTAATTTAGTATGAGTTCTAGGCATCTACATGTATATTTTTAAGTGCTAGAATTCATTCTGGCTCACAGTCAGGTTTAAGAAGTATAAAATTAAATTTCAAGTTACAGTGTCTTTTCACATTTCCCGCCTTCAGCACTGTGTTCAGAATTTCCTCAGGTTCACTGTATCTGATTCTGAACTCAAGTAGTCATGTGAATCTCAGTAAGTTGCTATTTTGATGCACACAAACAATGAAACCTGGAACTATGAAGACTTGCTTGTCTCTAATTACTTAAACAGCATCCTGTCTGGAATAAATTCAATTCTAAGTAAAAGATGTTCATATATAAACTGATGTGAATTTCTTATTCACAAACATGGTAATCATTGAAATAAAAACCTCTCCCAAAATAAAAGAAATAACAAAGAAAGTGAAGAAAGTAGATAGGAGAAGTTGTGTGCATTTTTATAGATAATTTAGCAGGTAACAGAAATCTTGGGAGATAAGTAGAAAGGCCATGGGTACACTAAGATTCCTAACCTGGAATTCTTGCCTTTTCAGGCAAATGTGGATTTAAAGTAAGTAAGGTAAGTAGATGCTGTGCTAGAAATCTCTCTCAAATTTTTTTCAATGAGCTTCTGAAAACCCAAGACAAATGGGTCTTTATGAAAAATAGAGGCAGAGTCAGCAACCAGATCCACTCATCATTTGCATGTCAGGCTTCGAACTTGTAGTCACGTGACAAGCAAATGGAGAAAAATTGGAAATCACCATTAACTGGGGGGCAAAAATTACAATAACATTGAGGGAGGGTCAGAAGACTGCAAAGCAGGTATACTAGTTCTTGGTGTGAGAACCTGAAAGTCAGAATCAAAGAGAACGGCAATGGTGAACACAGATGCCACAGATAAAGACATATCCAGCTTTAAGATCACCTTCATGTTGGTGGTCTCTGGAGTAGAGTGCATCATTGGCATCCTAGGGAATGGCTTCATCACGACAATCTATGGGGCTGAGTGGGCCAGGGACAAAAGACTCCCCACTGGTGACTGTATCCTGTTGATGCTGAGCTTTTCCAGGCTCTTGCTACAGATTTGGATGATGCTGGAGAATATTTACAGTCTACTATTCCGAGTAACTTATAACCAAAACACAGTATATACCCTCTTCAAAGTCATCATCGTATTTCTGAACTATTCCAACCTCTGGTTTGCTGCCTGGCTCAATGTCTTCTATTGTCTAAGAATTGCAAACTTTACTCACCCTTTGTTCATCATGATGAAGAGGAAAATCATAGCGCTGATACCATGGCTTGTGCGGCTGTCACTGCTGGTTTCTGTGTCCTTCAGCTTTCCCTTCTCTAAAGACGTCTTCAATGTGTACGTGAATAGTTCCATTCCTATCCCCTCCTCCAACTCCACTGAGAAGAAATACTTCTCTGAGACCAATGTTCTCAACCTAGCTTTTTTCTATAACTTGGGAATCATCATTCCTCTGACCATGTTCATCCTGGCAGCCACCCTGCTGATCCTCTCCCTCAAGAGACACACTCTTCACATGGAAAACAACACCACAGGCTCCAGCGACCCTAGCATGGAGGCTCACATGGGAGCCATCAAAGCCACCAGCTACTTTCTCATTCTGTACATTTTCAATGCAGTAGCTCTATTTCTTTCCATGTCCAACATTTTTGACACTTACAGTTCTTGGAATATTTTGTGCAAAGTCATCATGGCAGCCTACCCTGCTGGTCACTCTGTGCAACTAATCGTGAGCAACCCTGGACTGAGGAGATCCTGGAAGCGGTTTCAGCATCGAGTTCATCTTTGCCTAAAAGGGCAAACTCTGTGACTGAAACCCAGGGAGGATGATGGGACCTGGCCCCACCAGCTCTGGCCCTTCCTTATCTAGACCCTCTTCTCACCTATTGTTTCTCCCTTAAACCTGCTCTGAATCTTCTCTTCGGGTAACTAGACCCTTTCATAAATGTGAAGCTGAATTTTTAACTTGAGATTCTAAACAGAAGTAACTAAGCAACCCAAAGATGGACTTATAAAAGCTTCTTGAACTGTGCTCACTCGTAGCCTGTCCTGCGTTCCTCTCTACTTTTTTCTCCACCTGAGCCTTACTCGGTTTTCCTGAGACAATCCATTTGTTGTTTGTTGTCAGTTGGATACCCTTTAATCCTCTAGGATATCTTGTTCTGGATGAAAACATATTTGATCATCCCACTTAAGACACCCTAAACACTCCATTAGGGAAAGGAGAGCTGGCGAAGAAGAGCACATCATACATAGTCCAACAGGGAGAGGGGAAAGCAGAGTAGCTACAGAAAGATGATTCGAGAAAGAAAGACTGTCCAAGATCATCAAGTGCTGCAGTGGTTCCAAAGTAAAACAGTAAACAGTGAAGAAAAAGGCTTTAGATTGGAGTAAAAGAAGGCCATATATGCTAACAGTTTAGTAAAAAAGCGACATCCAGATCCTAGGAGTTCCAGAGAAGGTGATGCAAAAAGTGAGAGTATGTGAAAACCAATAATTTAGGGAAGTTTTGTGGAGATAAAGATGAGATATAGAATGGCAGGTAGATACATGGATGGTCAATTGAATGCTTTATCTCCCCAAATGGTAGGGGCCAAAGTTAGCAGAGAGAAAAAGAGCAAAGAAACAGAATGAAGTGAGCAGGGAGCAGAAAGGAAAAAGAAAGAGGTGAGAGTAAGTGGACGTCTGTTTTGTTCAGCTCCTGACTCTGTGACAACGCTAGTGGCATCTGTGCCTTTGATTTTACCAGTGCTGGGTTACCTTGAAGCAAATAGTGGGGCAAAAGCAGTTTCCCTGGGGAGTAGCAGCTGGTGAAGGAAAAAAAAATTATCCTTCATTGCTACCCTTTAGGATAGTTCCATCAGCATTGTCTTAAAGCATTGTCCACAAAATAAAACAACCCATCCCCCAGATATTTTGGAACTCGAAAGTTAGGAATTTTGATTTTTTTAATTATTTAAAAAATGAGATTGCCAAGGAAAATACAAAAAGAATGCTACTAATCATGCCAAGCTTAGGCAGCTCCCAAATGAAAGTGTAAGATCAGTAGCAAAATCTAAATTCTGAGCTCCTAAGCTCTCATGCCCATATTTCAGAGACAGTTCCTTGCATTCCTAAGCTGCAAAAAATCACACACACACTCATTCACATAAATTCCTTTATAGTTAATATAATTTGGGATTTATATAACTGGAAAGTAAAATATGTATGAAAATACACATTTGTGATAGTTCTCTCAAGTGATATTTCTTTGTATGACCTATTTCAGGATGGTGTAATTGTTATAGTAAGACAAATTTGATTTTGAAGTTTTGTTCTCATGCCTAAAGAATAGAGAAATATGCATTTTCTCCCAAATAACATATGCTGATAAAGCGACCTATGTATCCACTAAGGGTATTCAAATTCATTATTTAAAAAATTATTTAAAGTTGCCATTTCATTAACATGAACCATGTCAAGATAACAAAATAGATCATCCCTCTCCACACTTACTATGAAGAAACATAATTTTTTTTTCCTTCACCAGCTGCCACTCCCCAGGGAACCTGCTTTTGCCCCACTATTTGTTTGCAAGAGCCTAAGGCAGCAAGTAGAGAATTAACATGAGCTCTAAGGATGATAACATCCTCATCAATGCTTTAAATTGCCCCACATTCACTGAGATGAATTTCTCTTCAATTTTCTTCCTTCCTTTATGTAAAACCCAACTAAGCATCCAGAAAGAATCAGAATGCCTGACCCTTTGCAATTGACTGGCTTTAAACACAAATTAGGAGTCTTAATTGAAGACAAAAACACTGGACTCAGCTGAACTATAAGTCCATAGCCTAAGGCAAAGCCTGGCTTGCTGTGGTCCCAGTATCTTTACAGGTACTCACTTTGCAAACTCTACCCTGTCTTCCTCTCACCACCTGCCTGGGGGAGATTGAAAGTTGCAATGTGAGAGATTCCTTTTTCTACAAAGTCACTCTGCATATCTACCTGTGGAGCAGCTAAAAGGATTTTGGTTGCCAAGGGATCCCAATCTGGCAGGCCCAGTACACAGTCACGGTGTCTGCCTGCCTTCCTCATATCCTCTGGAGTTCTTACAAATGAAGGCTAAACTGGAGCCAGGACCAATCTAAAAGCTGTGACTTGAGAAGTACCAGATTGTTCCATAATTCAGCATCATCTTCCCTTTTCAACTACCTCAGTGTCTACTAAAATCCCACTGTGGTTCCTGCTTCTGTTTGAATTTTACTTTACGGGAAATCTATTATCTTATTCTCTGGTATTCTTTTCTTTGGGTCGCTAGGGCAGACACATCTATGTAATAGGGGAAAAGAAACTGTAAGTTCAGATAACTTATAATGAGTCATACGGCAGAGTTGGAAGCAGTGGTGGGGTTGGAAACAACAGGAACCAAAGGCGAATGGCAGAAGCAATCATGGAAGGAAAGAGAGACATTGAGAGAGGTAGCCCTTCTGTCTGTCGTACATTTCCCCTTCCCTTCTGGAGACAAGTGAAATTTTTAGAGGAGAGATTAGAAGAGGAAATTGTTTTACATATTCAGAAAGATTCATCTGAGGGAGAAGGAGGTAGGATAGAAAGGCTAAAGAGCCAGTACTTAATATTTGATGAGCTCTCTGTAGCCTCTTCTATAGTGGGAGGAGTTGCCTAAAATAAGTGAGGCAAGAGTTTCAGGGAAATGTTTTTATCAGGTGCCCTCTGGGAAAAGGCAATAGGCTATACTGCTAGAAATTACTGTCGATGGAAGGAGGATGGAAGCATATTGGAGCCTGTGATGTGGCCCAGAAAGGACAGGCATGAGCAGAAAACAGCAGCAGATATATCAGTGTGGAGTAAAGAGCCAGTGCAGAAAGAACCTGTAGGGAGTGTGCAGAGGTGTTGAGTCCTGAGGCTCACCTTTGCCAGTCTCAGGAGGAAGAAGCCCTCTACAGACAACTCTGGCCCAGGTCTTGGGGGATTATCCTTGCAAGCAGCAAAACAAGAGGTTTTCAAAGAGCTTCCAAGAGGAATATTTCTGGGTTGAACTCTTCCCATTTTAGGGTGTGACATTGCAAACATGCTCTATGTCTGCGGCACTAACCTGTCAACCACCTTCAGTGGGAAAAATACAGACTTTTTTTTGTTAAAGTGAAGTGTCTTGTAAATGCTCCACCCTTTGTCAGTTGCATCAGGAGAAAAAGAAAAGTGGTTTTAAAGATAGCTTATCCAGCCTAGACAACATAGTGAAACCTTGTCTCTACAAAAAATTAAGAAATTAGCTGGCACGGTGTCATGCACCTCTAGTCCCAGGTACTCAGAGGCTGAGGCAGAAGGATTGCTTGAGTCCAAGAGGTCAAGGCTGAAGTGAGCCATGATTATGACACTCACTCTGGTCTGGACAATAGAGTAAGACCTAGACTCAAAAAAAGAAAAAAAAAAGATAGCCAAAAGAGAAAAAGAACAGCAAATTCCAGGGTTTAGGTGTGGTAGCCAGCAGGAAGGGGGGATCTGAGGAAAAAACTCCAAAGAGGAAAATTCATGGAGAAACTTCACAACCCCTACTTTGGCACAGCCTTATGTGGTCCAGGTTCCCCAAAGTCACGAGACTGGGTTTGGATCTTGACTCTGCTACTTACTGGTGTGTAACATGGGCATGTGATTACATCTTTCTGAAACTCAGTTTCCACATCTGTAAAATGGGAATAATAATAACAAATACTTACTTCCTAGGGTTATCTCACCCTAAGAAATCAACAAGATACAGTGTTTAGCATACAGCGTCTGGCCCAGAATAAGCTATCAATAAATGTTACCTGTTAGTATTCTAAAGGGAAGTGAAGTGAGGGTGAGAGATATCTAGAACAAAGATATTTAAAGTGAACTGGATGCAAAAAGGCTGGAGCCCAGACAGGGCCAGATGTACACAGAGGGCTAGGCCTTTATGGTCCCATAGACTCCATGGCAGAAGATAACCACGTATCCAGTAGCAGTTCAATCATCCAAGTTGTGGGTGAAAAGTCAAAGATGTTCTGAAATGTTCACCTGTCCCCATTCCTGGAAACATCAGAAAGACACCTAATATTTCATAGTTTGGCTACCCGGCAATTATTTGAGTGCTGATTTGAACCAAGCCAGTCACTAGTTCAGGGGGTCAACAAACTTTTTCTGTCAAGGTCCAGAGAGTAAATTTTTAGAATTTGTGGGCCACATGCAGTCCCTGTCACAAGAACTCAACTCTTCTGTTGCAGTGCAAAGTCTGCCAGAGACATATATAAATGAATACGCAGGGCTGTGCTCCAATAACATCGTATTTATGGAGATTGAAATATGAATTTCATATAATTTTCACACGTCATGAAATATCCTTTTATTTTTATAAACCCATTTAAGAATGGAGAAGCATTCCGATCTATACAAAAAAAAAAAAAAAAAGAAATCAATGGGTCTGATTTGCCCCTGCTACAGTCTGTAGACCCTGTAATCAGTGTGTTCTCCGACTGGGTACTCTCTAAACCCAGTTACATTCACTATAAAGCAGGAATACTTATCATGACCACTTTTGCCATGTTTTGAACTTAGCAATTTTTCCAATACTTTTGCCACTTTCAGTTTCTCCAGTTTTTCTTTGTCCCTTTGCAATCTTTTTTTTTTTTTTTTTGAGTTGGAGTCTCACTCTGTCTCCCCGACTGGAGTGCAGTGGCCACTCCCGGCCACCGCAGCCTCAACCTGCTGGGTTCCGGTGATCCTTCTGCCTCAGCCTTCCGAGTAGCCGGAATTACAGGCATGCGCTACCATGCCCAGCTGATTTTTTGATTTATTGTAGAGATGAGGTCTTGCCAAGT